CGAAAATATACGTGAGTTCCACAAAATAGAGAGCCGAACTGTAAAATATGCTCTTCTCTTCTTTTTTTGGTTTTTTCTTGTTTGGTAGTGCATATCAACCAAAGGCTGATATTATTGATCCTCTTCTATGAAAAGAGAAAAAATCCCTGAAAGAAACGGATGGAGCATTGCCAATACAATTGTGGTACACAGGAAAAAAATGTTGAATTAAAGGCGAGAATCGTGGTCATAGGCCAAAGTAACGGGACGTAAGTCCGAAACATGGTAGCGATGTTTGATGCCACTCGCTTCATGACGAACAACATAAGTAGGGTGGTTGATTTGAACAATAATCTTCGGATCTGCAGAGTATCGTTGGTCTAATTTTCCCCTAGCGGTGAAGATCTTCGTAAAAACTCGATGACCGAGGTTATAGTGAGGATCGCGACGATTCTGATCATAACGTTGTTTATTGTACCGTTGATGTTCAAGAATATTTGCTTTCGCCTGTTGGTGGTAGACTTGAAGGAGCTTCTGAAGATGAATGAAATAGTCATTAGGGCGAACAAAATGAAAATACCGTGGAGGAGAGTCAATGGAAAGTCTAGGAGATCTACCAAAGAGCAGTTGAAGAGGTGAATATTATGTTGTTTTGTGCTTCGAAATACTGTATGCAAACACAACGGCGTCCAGGTAGTCATCCCAGTTGTTATGGTATTTCTGTTGAAGTTTGGACAGTTGAACTACCATAGACGCATTAAAACGTTCTACGACTGCATTTGTTTGAGGGTGGTTGGGTGAGCTGAGGATATGATTATAGCCAAGGAGATGTTGCAGTGCTCGCATAAGACTATTATTAAAATGAGTTGCTTGATCCGTGATTAGAATAGAACAAACGCCATATTTACAGAAGACGTGACGAAAAAGAGTTAACGCAGTGAGTTCGGCAGTGTTAGTAGGTAGAGGAATAGCTATGACAAAATGCCTAAAAAGATCAGTAACGACAAGAACATATTTATTTTGACGAGAAGATTCCACAAAAGGACCACAAATATCCATTCCAATGATAGAAAATGGTATTGTAGTAGGAGGAATGGGCTGAAGCTGACCAGGTTTTTTCTGACGGGAGTAGTTATATTGTTGACAAGGAATACACGCTCGTACATGTTGTTGAATTGTTTGTCTCATCTGCGGCCACCGGTAGCAAGAACTTATTTTTGAAAGCATCTTATCCGTGGAAAAATGTCCACCTTGGTAAGGATCATCATGCATTGATTGTAGAAGTGATCTTACCATAGAAGAAGGGAGATAAGGTACAGCAGCTTTTCGGGTGAAGTGAGAAGTGGAAGAGATGAGTTTGTGAAGAATGCCATTCTTCATGATGAAAGAAGAGGACAGTTTAGTTTGAATGTGACGGTTGTTGTTCAATTTATTAATAATGCGACGAATATCTGCATCCTGTGCTTGCTACCATTGCAAAGCACTTGAATTGAGGATATTAGAAGAGGGTGCTGTAGTGATACGTGGTGTATCACAGACTGTAGAATTATCGGAACTAGAAGATGCAACATCAGAAACGTCTTCATCGTCGTCATTCAAGTTATATGCAGGTGGTGGAGGAGGTTTATTGCGAGGACAAAGTGTCATTGTAGCGACAAAGTTTTCCGTAGGTGAAAAACAGGCGATGGAATCGGACTTGGGAGGCAGTGGTAGTTTCCTTTCAAGACCGTAAGGAATATCGAAGAGTGGATCATCAAAAGGGCGAGACAGATAATCGGCGAGACAATTACTTTTACCATCAATATGTTTCATTTCGGCGATTTGATACTCCTGAATTAAATTTGCTACATGTTCAATACGTCGACTATTCACTGGTTTCTGTAACATTCCACAAATAAAACAATGATCAATATGGATATAGACAGTTCGTCACAAAACTAAGGTTCTCATTCGTTGTAGACAATGAAAGATAGCCAAAGCTTCCTTTTCTGGTACCTCCCCC